GAGTCAGGGAGAAATTCACCCACGTGGAAGGTGTTTCCTGGGAAAAGGAAATCCTCCCAGCTAAGATTTTCCTTTGAAAGCTAAATATGGAAGAGTCTCAATGTGTGTGTGAGTATGTGTGTGAGTGTGTGTGTGAGAGTGTGTGTGTGTGTGTGTGTGTGTGTGTGTGTAAGTATGTGTGTGTGATGCCTGCCAGTTTCCTTTAGGGTACCATGTACTTTCAGGAAGTCATTTAAATGGGTCAAACACTACGTCCTCCAACTAAATATTACTATATACTAAAAGCACATATAACCCTTTGTATGAATTTAGGATTATTTAAAAACCATTGGATGACATTATAACTTTACATCTTCTCTAGACTATATACAGGAATTAATTTTTGATTTCTTTATTTTTACTTGGGTTTCAACAAACAGACTTGTGCTTTTTTTTTTTTTAATCTAAGCATGAGTTAGTCTTTATTTTATATTATCCCCTGTAACAATCAGGATAACACCATAAATCAGTATTGGTTTATTTTCACACGGTAGCAAACTGAAATTAGAAGAGACTAAGGAACCTGATCTATTTAAGGGTGCAGCCCACATTCAGGTTTCGTCCTAAGAGTTTACTTAGTAGGCTAAATCTGCCTGTGCTTCTTACACAGCTCTGGCTATTTAATTCTGTGGTTTTCCCATCCTAAAAAATTTATATTAAAATTTTACCTTTGTACAGTAGGTAAATTACTTTGACATTATTATCAAATCAGCAATAAAAATTATAATAATCAAAAGAGTACATTATATACTTGGAAAGGAACCATATACAATCCCAGGTCTTTAAGGTAAAAGCATATAATTCACACCAAAAAAGTTGCACACAGCAATGATTCCACCCACAGGCCTAATTTATTCACTTTCTTCATATTTCTGTATGTAGTACTTGATGAATGTTTATTGGTAAAGGGTTTTTTCCTTCTTCTCTCAAACTGAGAATGAGCAGCATATTTTAAGTAATATGATTATGAATGTTCTGCACTTAGCATAGTTCTCAGAAAATAAGTCAGAGAGATGAAATCCAAGGAAGTGTGGGAAAGAAACTGAAATATCAAAAGGAAGCTAGAAAAAGAGTCACAGGAATGCCTTCATGACTTTCTGAAACTAGCAACATGGGCAAAATTTGCGCCTGTATATATTCATGATTAGTTAGTGGGGGGAAAACATTTTTCTCAGTTCAGCAAAAAACAAAAAGTAATGATTTTTAATGGTCTATGAGATACCAGAATATTATTATCAGAATACACATGTGTATTCCATATGTGTATCTATGTTATCAGAATATTATTATTTATAATGAAATCACCATCAGAGTAATCCTGATGCTTTTTTACCTGTGCTCTCTAGTGTATAACCACAGATTATTCCAGAATTCCTTCTAACAACTAGTGTCAAGCTTCACCAGTATCCCTCATTATTTTAAAAAATACTAGTCATTAGAAATTAATAACATTGGAAAATTTCTATTTTCATACCACTAGATATTCCAGTGATGATAGTTAGTTTTAAAAATGGAGGAGAAAAAGCTTGTTACACTACTCTGATTTCATTATTCAGAGGCTTTAGACAAGAAAATGCAGCATGAATTCTTAAGAGACATCCAAAAAGTTAAGTTAGAGAACAGTGCAGTAATATGACACATAAACCTCAATTTTGTTATCTACACTCTGAGTTCTCATGCATTGTACTTCCTAAGGTATAGTACAGACTTCCCTTGTGGCTCAGCTGGTAAAGAATCCGCCTGCAAGGCAGAAGACCTGGGTTTGATCCCTGGGTTGGGAAGATCCCCTGGAAAAGGGAAAGGTTACCCACTGCAGTATTAAGGCCTGGAGAATTCCATGGACTGTATAGTCCATGGGGTCGCAAAGAGTCAGACACGACTGAGCGACTTTCACTTTCACTTTAAGGTGTAGTATGGAAGTGTAGTAAGAAATCAGAAGTTGTTAAACAGGAGATGGCAAGAGTGAACATTGACATTTTAGGAATCAGTGAACTAAAATGGACTGGAATGGGTGAATTTAACTCAGATGACTATTATATCTACTACTGTGGGCAAGAATCCTTTAGAAGAAATGGAGTAGCCATCATAGTCAACAAAAGAGTCTGAAATGCAGTACTGGATGCAATCTCAAAAACGGCAGAATGATCTGTTTCCAAGGCAAACTATTCAGTATTACAGTAATCCAAGTCTATGCCCCAACCAGCAATTCTGAAGAAGCTGAAGTTGAATGGTTCTATGAAAACCTACAAGACCTTCTAGAACTAATATTCAAAAAAGATGTCCTTTTTATTATAGGGGACTGGAATGCAAAAGTAGGAAGTTAAGAAATACCTGGAGTAATGTGCAAATTTGGCCTTGGGGTACAAAATGAAGCAGGGCAAAAGCTAACAGAATTTTGCCAAGAGAACACACTGGTTCTCCAGTAACACAAGAGAAGACTCTACACATGGACATCACCAGATGGTCAA